AAACTTATCCGAAATTATGAATCCTAAAAGTAAAAAATAATTTTTTTACTTTAATATTTTTTGTTCTCTCTCTCTCTCTCTCTCTCTCTCTATCTCTATCTATCTATCTATCTTGGGAGATTCTATAGGGAACGTATTTTGCTGTAGCAGTTGGTTAACACTCGGGCAGGTAATAACTTGACCTGACCAGAAAAAAAAAAAAAAACATTTGCTGCTAATTATTGTTTTTAACACTTGTATAATATGCATTCAATTTGTTAAATTAAAGTTACTAATTTTGAACCGTAGTTCTAACGTATTTTCTAAGATTACTTTGACGTTGAGGAGTATTTTTCAAAACAATCCACTATTATTGTCATACTCTCGATAATAAATATCTTACGCTCGTTCATTTATGTAATAATTAATAATTAAAACTGAATAAATTGTTAATTTTTTTTACTAATTAAATGTATTACCTGACAAAGTATATTTTAAGAATATTATATTCGGCTTATTTAAGTGCAAATCGTTTAAAGTATTTTGCTTAATTTATTCTTAATGACCATAACAAAATCTGATCTCAATGTGATATATATTTTATTTGAAAAATGCTTTTTTTTGAAAAGCTTAAGTTAAAATATTGAACAAAGCTTGTTTATTAAATATTTTATATTTGTATTAATCGCTAAACTATAATATGTAGTGCATGCATTGATTAATTCTTCTGTCGATTATAATTTTTTTCGATTGGCATTGTCAACTATCATTCCATATTGCCCTGTCACTTTTCTCATAAAAATTTTTTGCTATTAAATTTATTGATTCTTATTTTTGCAAATCTAAAATAAAATTTTGAATGTAAAAAGACAACTAATTCTCCCGAATCTCAAAAGGAATATAAAGTTTTAATGCAGTAAAATAACCTTGAGTTATTAACTACAATGTTCACCTTTTAAATGTGTAATATAGCAACTTTATGAAAACGGTTATTTTAGTATTTTATAGATGAATTTATAATGAGATAAATTAAATTTTATACAATCAATATGAATTGATTTATCATTTTTAATATTCTCTGAATTTCTAAAAATAGTTAAAATAACGACGATATGAAAGATTGAAATTATTAAATTTCATATTAAAGTATCGTGAGTTTGGTTTTAATCAACAATTTTTAATTTACAAAATGCGTATTATTGACCCTAAATATAACTATAATGTGGATTTTTACTATTATTATTGTTATTTTCTTTAGTTAAGCTAAAAATTACGACTACTTTGTATAGATAAATGTACATGAATGTACTTTACATAAAGCGAAGGTGAATTTAAAATTATTGATTCTCACATCTTAAAATATGCCTACATAACTTGCGTATATATTCTAATAATATTTATTATACGTATAATAGTACTACGACAGCTAAAATGATCAAATATATCTTATTTAATACTCAATAACAAACATTATTTCTAACTTTTACATACTAAATATTTACTTAATCAAGGGACTTTTTACACACGAAAATAATATATAAACTTTACAAATTTATGTCCTTAATAACAAATTCTTTAATTTTATGGCACCGCTATGTTTACCATTCGTATGGCAATGTAAAATTTTTGTTACATAAATTGTTAATATAAAATTTATCTTATAAATAAAATAATAAAAATTTATTGTATTTCGTAGATGTACATTTTTAAAATGAAAAATGCATAGGCTTTATTTCATTTTCAATAAAACGTAGGAATTTTTTAGGAAAAATATCGCACCGTATATCATTATTTTTTATAAAAAATATGAATTTTATAATTCATATTGTCTTCTATGATAATAGTCATATTTAATAAGAATAGAAATAAAAATTTTAATAGTAGCAATATAAATGTGAGTGTATATAATATGTATGTGATGAGTTAGACTAAAACTAAGATAAGGATAAAATGAATTGCTTTTTATATATTTAATCTTAACATTCATTGAATTAAAAATTACAGAATAAATACTATTTAATTGACGTTTGTATCGCAAATAAGGAACATTAAGATTGTAGTTGTTTTTGAAAATAATTTTATTACATGAAAAGAACAAGAAACAAAAAAAAAAAAACAACAAAAAATTCCATTACTGTGTATTCAATTTATATTAGGGAAAATGTATAATTTTTATATTTATTCTAGATTATAGCAAGCCTTCATTTATTCATTTATTGCGTTGATTATTGTACTTTGAATGTTGTTACAATTATAATCAATCGTAATAGCAAGAACAAATGCTCTATAACGTGGCATTTACAATAAAATAAGTATCGTTAATATGAAATTAATAGAATTGAATGCGGAACAATCGTTTTCTTGTTTGTTTTGGAATTGCATTAATAATTATTCCTTTTTTTTTCTTTATTGTTTTTTTTTTGTTTTTGTTTTTTTTTGTTTTTTTGTTTCTTGTATTGAAATCAATGCGGACGATAGCCGGGAATAATTCTCTGTAATCTGTTTCAATGTCGAGAGAAAGAAACATATCAATGGACCTTGTCATAGCGGCGCGCCATGAAAAATTATCGCACAAAATGATGCACACAAGTATTCGACGCGCGAGCACAAAAATAATTATCCAACGCTTGAAGCATAAACAACAACAACAAGCAATTTTAAATCCAAGAGGCTCACAGCACTCTCGACTTACGGCGATTAAAGAGAAATTTAGGACGCGTGCTTAAAGTGCATCGTAATGCACGAGCGGGAGTTAAGCCAAATTTAAGCTCGATATAAAGCAAATAAGCGGAAAATAAACAACGGCGCTTCGAAGGCAAATTACAACAAAAAAAAAAAAAAAAAAAAAAAAAATAAATAAATAAATAAATAAAAATGCCATAAAAAGGGAGAGGGGAGAAGCGAGTCTACTCGGCGATTCCTTTTACGATTCCAAGGTAATGTACAAATGAGATTGGTGGACGTCGAGGAACTGTGGTCCAGCTCAGGCCTTAGGAATTCGCGATCGACGTAAATGTACTTTAAACGCTACGAAATACACAAAGAAAGAGGGGTCGAAGTGACGGGTCGGTGAAGTAGGAGGAGGAGGAGGAGGAGGAGGAGGGGGGTGGGAGTGGGAGACAGGCAGGCGATGACGAGGCTGCACACGTGCGTGCATCGTTTTTCCAATTTTTTTTTAGATGATGGTAAGGTGTTACGTGGCACGGAGGCGGCGGATACCAAGTCCAACTAATGGAAATCAAACGGGACTTCTAATTTCAACTTTTCTTTTAAACATCTCGTTAATCACGTGGACGGCCATTCTACATTGAATTACTTTCCGATTAGAGACCGTGTAATTTCTACCTGGAGCCTCGAGTTTAATTATCGATGCGTATCGCACGAGCTATTATGTCGATGGAAGAAGAAAGGCTAGAGATTAGATTAGGACGAAAAGCCATGGAAGAATAATGTTTTGACGATCGAATGAAATCGCCAATTATTGGCTCGTAATTCGCAAAGTCCTTTAACGTTGTAGCAACGACACCGAGTATACATTACGTAGATAGGTAAAACGTTGTTTATTTAAAAGGCAATGAATAAGTCGCGCGGAGAAAATGCGAGACGCGCGAATCATAATGAGATGCGTACGCACAACGAGGAGGAATTTTAGCCATGAAATTGAATTACATCGCTCGTTGTCCTGGTTAAGATAATGAGAATCTCCAGCACGTAGAGTAGGGCTGCATCCCGTTAAATACGCGATCGGAGCCTTTAGCGAACTTACCGTGCCTCATATCTTCTATCGCACCGCATTTTCCAAAGGAGTTCATTAAATTAGCTGAATGGCCGAGACGCAAGACGTCCATTGGACATAGTCGATAAGACAAAGAGCGATAATCGTCGGATTTGCCGTCCAGTACCGGAAATCGGGCTTCGCTACCATACTCGCCCTATTATCAGCCAGCCAGGGCTGTTCGATTTTCGCGTACAAAAGCCTCGCCCTTCAAAACGCCTCGAGCATCTTGTGCGCATTGCTCGCGTCCAATGGCGGTCTGATTAAATTAGGTAAATGGAGGCTGCGGTCCACCAGGACCAGACACTGTCTACCCAGTTTAATTACACGAGCGAGATACACAGTGAACCGAATGATTTTATTACAGGGCAGGGGGTCTTTGGATACACGTTCCTGCGCTTTGCGTTTATTTATTCAAGCTCTCTTAAATTATTTGTAAAAAAAAAAAAAAAAAGAAAAAAAGAAAAAAAAAAGCACGCTTCTATGATTTACCGATATTGCGAATATACAATAATCTCAAAGATTTATAAATGCGGTTGAAGAAGATTTGTTTTTTTTTTCCTTTTCGTTTTTTAAGTAAACGTTTTTATCAGAAGGGGCTTCCTTGCATCTCTCGCGTTATCATGGATCAAATAATTAATCACAAATGTCGCTGTGGATTGACGCGTCGGCCTCTTATAATATATACAATTCACCTCTCACAACCGAGCTTGTGCAGCACAATGAGATTAAGTATTGTTTTGCGCATTCAGTAATATCCGTGAACGTTGAAAGATGCGTTTCCGTCAGAATAGAATTTGAATGAAAAATTTTGAGAAATCGGTAGGTGCAAGTTGTCGTGAAAATGTCGATGAGAGAGGAGTATCGAGTTCGTTTGATGAAGCGTACGAAGTATCCGGGGGTACAGGAGTTTACTTAGGACGTGGACATTTTGTAATAGGAATGTGCGCGACGACGCTCATTATTGTCGTGGCACTTTTCTTAGACAGCGTATCGTTTTTCCTAAATAAGCGCTGATTAGTCTTGAGTATTTCCCTAATAGCGCCGAGGATGAGCGACACCGGTCTATCGAGCATTTAAAACGGTCGCCACGGTCGTGTTGCCCGGTCAGTCGTACGTCGGGTGCTTGAACCGCGGGATCGTCCTCGGGGAGAAAGCGGTTCCCGTCACCTGCTGGAGGAAGTGCCGATAAAGGAAGGCGACGCGAGGGAAGGGGCGCCTCCCGCGGTGAAAGTTCCCCGGCGGTGAAAGAAACGGCGGCGTTCCCCCCACCCGGGGCCCCGTGCGTAGAGGCGCGCCGCGTCGTCCGCGTAATCGCGCGCAGTCCGAGCCCGCGGCATCTCGGGGACGGAGGGAGGTCCAGGTCGAGCCGCGCCGGCAGGTGCGCAATCCAGCCCAGGACACAACGCCTGCGCCATGGTCCAGATGGTATGACATACACGCACGCGCGCGCTTTCTCGCTCCCGACCCCACCCCCCTCGCCGTCCAACTCACTCGCTCACTCTCTCTCTCTCTCTCTCTCTCTCTCTCTCTCTCTCCGTGAGTACTTTTGTGTTTGCGTTTGCGAGAGAGAGAGAGAGAGAGAGAGAGAGAGAGACATTGTGTGCGCGTGTGTGCGTGTGCGCGTGTGCGTTGTCTGCGTTGTGTGCGTGCGTGCGTGCGTGCGTGTGTGCCTGTGTGTGTGCGCGCGCGCGTGCGTGTATGTGACTATTTACTACGTTTCGCGGTTGTTGCGTAAGCGCTGTGTTGAGACTGGTCGGGCAGCGGAGGTCTGCTAGCGAACCTCGTTGGCGATGCTCCGACTCTCTCGATGGACGACTTATTGTGCGTCCCCCCCCCCTCCCCCCTCTTTATGGGAGACTCGATCAGTCGTTAGCCGAACCCCAAGTCGATCCATGGAGCGCGCGAACCGCAAGCATCTCGCTTGCGATACGAAACGTTATCGCAGCCGCCCTTATCAGCCACGCAGCTTGTCGAGAAGAAAAACTTAGGCTTTTTCTCATGCGTGCCCGCTCTCCCGAAGATAACGATACGCTTTACGAGGTCCCCTCCCCCCTTCGAGAGCCGCCGATTCACTCGCCCGGGTCGAGGTATCTGTTGGGCTTTATTTTACAACGTTGTTTTTCAGCTAGAAATTTTCGAGCTCGACTAAGGCATATCCGGCCATTACTCCTCCTCCGCCACTTCTTCTTCCTCGTCCTCCTCCTCCTCCCCCTCCTCCTCCTCCGCATCCTCCGCCTCCTCAGCCTCCTCGTCCTCCTTCAAATGATTGCGCGCTCGCGCTCGTAAAGGAGCTCCATCTAGCGTCGGTGGCCAAGCCGATTTCGGGACCGTCAAAGTGCCGCCGTGACATTCGACGGCGGCTCGCCCTTACGTCGCCCGACACTGCAAATCGGTTCGCGCGATTTCGCCAGTCCTGCGCTCGGCTGCTCCGACTACCACTAAGTCAGCCTATAGCTCGACGAAAGCTGCGAGTGCAAAGTCACGAGTGTTTCACTACTCATCGCGGCACCTCGACGCAGCTCCTCATCTCTGGAGAATTTCACGAGGTCGGCGGCACGACCGCGCTTGGGCCCCCTACGAGCATTGGCAGATACGATTGGCAGAGACAGCGCGCGATGATCGAGGCAAGCATTAAGTTAGCCAACACCACTTGTCGATACTAATGTTTATTCTGCGCCAAATGCATATTCCTTCTTTTGCGTGTACACTGCATGCATGGCCAGTGTCGATAGTGTCGGCGTTTGCAAAACGCGATATTTCGTCGGGGCGCGGGAGGTGAAAAGTCGCTGGCAAGCCCAGTCTCGCTTCTCCTCCCAGCTTTGTCACGTTGAGTCGAGAGTTGCGTCGGCGCTCGCGAGTAAATAGCACGACGTAATCGAGTCGACGTCGAGCCGTCTAGAGCACAGCATAGGTGCGCCGCGCACTCTTAATGCCATTCGCAGGTGCGCGTTTTCGCAAGTGACGAAATTGAGAGACTCGGCCGCGCGACAACCACGTGCGCGACAAATCGCACGTGTGTGATTCACGACTCATTGTCAATGACCGAGTGCGCCGACGCGAGACACCTCTCTAACCCCCCTATCCCACCTTATCCATCCCTCTCTATCAACTTCTCTCCCCGCCATACCTCATCCATCCATCCATCCTCGGCCGTCCTCCACCTCCGTCTTCTAACAAACCCGAGGCGGCCGTCCACGGTCCCCGTCGACCCGCGCGAGCCCATAATGGCCACGGACAACCTCTCTACCTATATTCTCGCAATACTGTGAGAGGCATTTACGTGACCGCTTCCTATTCTATTCACCTTCGCTAACGTTCCGTCTTCGACGAATCTTTTGTCTTGCGGAAGCTCGGAGCGACCAAGACTGCGCGAGCTACGGCCTCCTTAATGCTTTCGTGACGGTGAATCATAGCCACGATTGCCTCGAGGATCACCCGCGAGTCTCATAAATTCTATCGACTAAGAAGTCCTTTGTGCGTGGATGAGCGATTGGTCGTTATGAAAATGAGGATTGGGATAGGAGGCGTTGGCGGTCGGTGACGGAATTTTGGCGCAGAAAGGATCAAGATCTGCGCGACTATCGCGATCGCCTCGGACTCTTCCTTCGGAAACGAATCGCGGCTGCGATGCTCCGGATTATTGTGATGCGACGACCTGACGGCGCAATGAGAAGTTGAATTCGTATTGCCAGAATGGTAGGTCGTAACTTCGTAATGACGTGACTATTGTTGGGCCATCGATTTTCAAGTAACGGAACGGACGTTGAAGTAATCGCGTCCCAGGTTAGCATGTTTTATACGCACGTTTCGCACCAAGTGTCGACGACAAGAAATTTTCTTTTTGGCATACCTCGCGCGAGCTTAACCAATGCTTCTTGAACATTTTCCGGATTTAGCGGTGTGTGCAATATCGCACGGATTACACAAAGTAAAAGCGTAATATTCTAAAATCGCGTGCGTTTTAAATGTCCGTTGGTTATTCAACGAGACGAATGAAACGAAAGAACAGTGTGGCGATGGGCAACCATACGAACGATGACACACGAACATCTCCGTCGCTCTTAACTCGCGCAAATGCGTCTGGCAAATATTGATAAATCGCAACGATTGATAAAAATCGCTTTGACATAGCTGGGCGTCTAAAATTAGGCGCACGGTCAATTGTATTTGCGATTGGAAATTGTCGCTGGAAAAATAATGTAAGCTAGACGCGAGCCAACAACGACGGCTAAAAACAGCCTTACGCTACTTTTGGCTCTATTGGCAAATCGCGCATAAATGGCAAAATTACTAATGTACGAGTTCGCTATTCCCATTGCATTCGCATGCGAGTCTCAATCAAATCCATAGCGTATAATAGTCGACGAGATTGTTTTTCTCCGGCAGGTACGATCCTCCAGGGCGAGCGCTAATTCTAATCACTTTTCCGGGAAAGGAGACGTGCGCTGATAATAACTACGAAACGCCGGAGAGTAGAATTAGTCGGGTCGTACTTTGACAGGATGCTGATAAAGGAAGGCAATGGTAAAGGATGGAGGCGTACCAGTCGGCTAATTTCATTTCCCTGTTAATTGCATTGGATGATCGAAGAGCGGAAATCGAGTTCCGTAATTGATATTCATTGTTCGATATAAGATTACTTTCACTTTCTTTTGAATGTCGGATGATCAAAGCGCGCCATGTGGTATTTCATTACAACACTCTTATCGTTGCGCAACTAACCAAATGATGTATAATAATATGTACGATTAGATCTTGAGCAGACGGCGAGCAAAATATAAATGCCGATCGACCGGCACCTTCGACTTGTCGGCTTCATTTTTCATTCTTAATCGGCAGCGTTCATCTCGACGCACAGAACCGATTAATTAAACATTGACACTATTTACGAAATGTACGATACGGTGTGTGGAAAAACGTAAAAAAAAAAAGAAAAAAAAAAGAAGAAAGGAACAAACAATAACAACAACAACAACAACAACAACAATAACAACAATGGTCTCTCCATGCAAATCTTCGAGACGCTACTCGCACCTGCAATCGATGCATACTAAAATGCCGCGTTACCTTCGTGAAAACGTACCTCTTTCTCCTCCTCCTCCTCCTCCTCCTCGCTCCCTACCGTCTCCGTTCTACCCCAGCCGCTACAGCCAACGAAGGACTATTCGAACCCACGATGTTGCGTGAATCGAGAAAAAAAAAAAAGTTGAATCTCGTCGCTACCGAGCATACCTCCGTACATTATCTTCCACGCGTTTTGCATGTAATTAAACGGGCTCAGCATATTTTTTTTCTCTGTCGCTTTTAATTCCTTCTGGTCATCGCACGCATGCCTGCATCTTCTTATCCAGACATCTATTTGTAATGCTCAGCTATTCCTAGCACAATGAATGTCCGTATAATTACATTAAATTCTCGTATTTGCATTTGCACGCGCAGCTCACTTTTCCTCCAATTAAAGGCCAAACAAATATTTGCATTCATGATTGTCGCGCGACATGCTTACCGCTGATATCTTTTCTTCTTCTTCTTTGTTATTTTTTTTTTTTTAAAAACTTCAAAATTCACACTTCGATGGGCATCGGTCGTGCACAGTGCGTTAAAAAAGTTAATGTCGAATAGCGGAATATCGCTTTAAAAGTACGATAATGTTCCGTTACGTATTTCATTTATTGTTTTCGATTACGCGTAACCCGAGACCCGGCACACTTGCCTCTCCAAGGGTCTCCAAGTGGATCGCGTTATTGCTTGGATACCGTAACACATACAAGGACGTCATTACCTATGGCAATAAAAATGGGCTCTCGACATTAGCGTAATTCCTTTTTAATTATACATTGGCTGTATTATTAATCGGCATTAGAAAGGACGGAGGAGCGCGGGCCAAAATTTATGAGTTTTGGGACCTTCCACGAAGCGCAATATTCAAAATTCAATTGTTCATCAGTTATGAAATACAAGGTTAACGCAGACCGTGTAATGGTTACAAAATCGGCTCGTAAATGGGCAATTACGAAAGCGGCGCGGGCCCGATGAGTGAAAAATCGATGCTTGAAAATGTAAAAGTGCAGAACCGTAACGGACGGTCGACCTCACAGCGTTACATCACACCAATCAACGCCGACTAGACGGTGGGGTCGAGTGGGCGGGTTTGGCAGGGGACGGTGGGAAGGGGGAGGATGGAGGGTCCCCGTTGCACATTATAGTGCGCGCTGTTCTTGGAAAAGCCGCGTTCACCGCATTACGCTTATCAAGCCTATCATTGACGGGAGGTGGTATCCTTGTCGTCGTCCTGGCGATCGGTCGGTCGATCGATCGGTCGATCGGATGCCGCGGAGGAAAAAGCCCAGGCAGAGTAGAACGGCCTCGGGGAAAAGAATTCTGCCAATCAGTGTAATTATCGCGCGTGCCTCGAAACGGCTCTC